CCCCCCCCCCCCACCCCCCGGCCCCCCCCCCTGCAGCTCCCCCGCCTCCCTCTTCTGTCTCCCCTCCTCTGAGTGCCAGCAGCAACCCTGCCCCCGCCAGCACAGCCAAGAGCCCCCTGCTCAACTCTCCCACAGTGGGCAAACAAATTTTTCCCTGGATGAAGGAGTCGAGACAGAACACTAAACAGAAAACCAGCGGCTCCAGCTCAGGTAAATGGGTGCCTTCCGGAGGCGGGGCCTGTGGCCAAGCTCAGAGCCCTAACCCACCTTCAGCCTTTACCAGCACAGCCTAGGAGCTGAGGAACTTTATCCCGCCCCCTTCCCCCCCACACATACACACAAGGAGAAAATGTTTCCAGAATTTTTGCTACTTAGGGAGGTGATAAGGTTTCTATGGTAAGGATCCCCCAGACATAAACCTGAGTGAAGTCCCTCTGGACCTCTCTAAGGCAGCTTGAGCCTGGCTGAGTTGGAATCTCTCCTCGTTGCAGTGTTGAGAGTTGTGACCTCTAGGCAGAACCATCCTGAGGGTCTCTGTCTCTCTAAGCAAAGCTCCTCTCCTCTTTTCTAAGCAAACAGTGGCATCCTTCCCATACAGAAATGTGGCAGAATAAAAGCAGGCGGAATCATCACCCAAGTCAGAATCAATGCTTTGTCTATAATCAGAGCCAGCGTTTGCTGCAGCAGATGGAGTGGCTGCCTTACCTTTGGGAAGGCCTTGTTCAGTCCTAGTACAATGAGGGAGGCAGCCGGGGATCTCCTGGGGGAGGGGATTCAGCTTATCATCCTAATGGAAACCACATGGGGCTTTGGGAACTGGGCTCCAATGGAGGAGCCTCAGTCTGAAGGCCTTGGGCTTCCAAGCCTCTTGGTTACCTTGGCCCCTCCCTCTCCAATTTCCATTGCTCTCCCCGAGCCTGAGTGGAACACACAGAGCTGGTGTTTGGATATCCAAGGAAGACAGGAGGCACACAGATGAAGGGCCAAAATTGGGCAGCCTGCTTGATGACATTGAGATCCCTAATGACCAGGACTCCTTAGGGTCCAGGGCCTCCCTACCAGGACTGGACTGAAGTTGTCTAGACTGATGTCTGGTCTCCATCGGTCAGAGAAAGTCTTCCAGTTTGACCTTATCAATCTGTCCATCCCCTCTTGGTAGATTTTAAAATTGGTTAGTTGAAGCTAATGGCTGACCACTCTCAGTCACACAGGGAGGATGAAAGGCCTTCACGCATACACTAGGTCTCTCACATTTCAACAACTGAAGGAACTAAGATAGTGGCACCTGCCCACAGGAAGCTTATTGTCTTATGGGCCAGTGAATAGGCAATAGAAGTAAAGAGTTAGAGAGGAAGTGCAGGCCAGAAAAGCAAGCAGGGGGCTCCGCTGCTCTGTCTTCCTCTTGAAGAAACCCAGATTGCTCCTAAGAGGAAGAAGGCAGGCTAACTGGGCTGTTTACACACACCAAGAGAGAACCTCAGGCTCTGAAATCCTGCTCCCCTCTGGTGGACAGAGGCTTTGGTGGGGTGAAGAAAGGAGGGGCTAGCCTAGGGCTGGGGAGCTGGGCGGGGTCGCCAGCAGCCCCTGATACCGCTCTTCCTCTCTGTGTCCCGGCAGGGGAGAGCTGCGCTGGTGACAAGAGCCCGCCTGGGCAAGCTTCCTCCAAGCGCGCGCGCACCGCATACACGAGCGCGCAGCTGGTTGAGCTGGAGAAGGAGTTTCACTTCAACCGCTACCTTTGCCGGCCACGCCGAGTGGAAATGGCCAACCTGCTGAACCTCACAGAGCGCCAGATCAAGATCTGGTTCCAGAACCGCCGAATGAAGTACAAGAAGGACCAGAAGGGCAAGGGCATGCTGACCTCGTCTGGGGGCCAGTCCCCAAGTCGCAGTCCCGTGCCTCCCGGTGCAGGAGGCTATCTGAACTCTATGCATTCGCTGGTCAACAGTGTCCCTTATGAGCCCCAGTCACCCCCTCCCTTCTCCAAGCCCCCCCAAGGCGCCTACGGGCTGCCTCCCGCCTCCTACCCTGCTCCTTTGCCCAACTGCGCTCCCCCTCCTCCCCCCCAGAAGCGCTACGCAGCAGCGGCGGGGGCAGGCGCAGGGGGCACCCCTGACTACGACCCGCACGCTCACAGCTTGCAGGGCAACGGCAGCTATGGGACCCCACACTTACAGGGAAGCCCCGTCTTCGTGGGGGGCAGCTATGTGGAACCCATGAGCAACTCCGGGCCAACACTCTTTGGCCTAACTCACCTCCCCCACACCACTTCGGCTGCCATGGACTACGGGGGCACAGGGCCGCTGGGCAGCGGTCACCACCATGGGCCGGGGCCTGGGGAGCCGCATCCCACCTACACGGACCTTACTGCCCACCATCCTTCTCAGGGAAGAATTCAGGAAGCGCCCAAGCTCACCCACCTGTGATGATGGGCTCTGGCTGCGAGCCAGGAGAGTTGCCCCCCCCTTCTTCGGTTCTTTTTCCTTTAAATTTTTTTTTATTGTTTTATGTTCTTCCTGCCTCTCCCTTTTCTCTTCTGTACCCCTCCCTCATTTTGTTTTCTTTGGTAATGCGTTTTTATGGTTTATGTGACGTAGCAATCTTGGTTGCTGGAAAGGCTGTCAGTATCAGTAGTGACATTTACATCCCTCCCACTCCCACGCTGCCACGGCCTCTGGCCCAGCACCCTTACCTTCTTTACTCTTCGATAAGAAACAGGGTATATGGACAAACTTTCTAGTTGAGTTTTCAATGTGAATTTGTTTGTACGTTATGGCTCCCGAGAGGAAGCGATTTTTTTTTTAAGTTTTAGTTTTTAAAATTGCACTTCTTGTAATGAGCGAGAAAAAGAAATCAAAGGCGCTTTGAAACGGGGACTCCCTGTGCAAAGATGACTAAGTGTACGTCTTTCCGTGTGTGTATGCTTGTGAACAGTCAGATTTATTTATATTTTTTGCAAGCATTGAATAGTCTAAGTTTTAAATATTATTTATCCCCATCCGTTCGTATTTATATTAAAGAAATTCTGTACCCTGATTGTTCAGAAGGTTTCTTGAGCCTTTTGTTCAATGGTGTATTGGCATACATATAAAATTTATTTGAAAGGGAAATAAAATTCCTTTATAAAAACCGTAGCGATGCAATAAGAACAGAGAAGACCCAGCGTTTGAAAACAATGGTTTAGGTTTGTAACAGCAGGCAAAACTGAACGCTAAAAATGCTAGATTTGTTTTGAGAGTTTTACATTCCTTGCTGCTCACATTCTGAGAAACAAAACAAAAATAAAAAATAAAGTTTTTATTCTGATTAAGATGTGTGTCAAAGGGGTTCTTTGGCTGAAGACGGGGCTCTGCGTGGAGTACAGGCAGAAGCGAGCGGGCAGCCGCTGCCACAGCACCAAGACTCCGGCGTGCGGCCTGGCCCGGCGTGTCGCCCAAGCTCGGCGAGTTCAGGAGAAAGAGGCCGTGGTTTCAGGAGGCCTCCGCGGCTCGGGAAATGCCGCGCTCTGGGTCCACTGGGCTGCCTGGTTCCCAGCTGCCGCCCAAGCAGGCGGAGGGCGCCTGGCTGCGAAGTGCTGGGCGGCGTGGAAGAAACAAAGGCAGCTGGCCAAGGCGCGGCGGGGGGCGCACAGGTGCGGGGCGACGCGCCCAGAGAACCCGGAGCTCCTCTCTACTCCCCCCACCCCCCCGCAACGAAAGCCCATCGGCCAACGCCTCAACCTCAGGAATCGCCTCAACCTCAGGAATCGCACAGGGTCCTGAGTTCTTCCCACAAGCTATCGCGTTCCAGGTCTCCATTGTAGATGCTTTGTGGTTCATTATCGCTCCTGGAGAAGGGGGAGAGAGAGAGAGAAAGAAAGAAAGAAAGAAAGAAAGAAAGAAAGAAAGAAAGCAGGCTTTCCTAAATTCAGCTCCAAAGGTCTAAAGGGGCCGATGCTCCCTCAGGTCTCCAGCAAAAGACCTAAGCTCCAGAGAGTCCGCCAGGCCTTCCTTGGACTGTAAGAAATCCCTTCCACGAATCTCACCATCAACTTCCTCCCGGAATCCAGCATTTGCCATTCTGTGGATTTATTTCCTCTGTTTTTATGGCCCCAGGGGGAGGAGGAGAGAGAAAGGAGATTGGTATCTTCCTAATAAAAACGCAATTGTACAAGTGCTTCTTTCATTTGCTGCAACACAAGCTTAATATTACATTTCCACTTTTGGATTTAAGATAGGATGCAGGCTGACTGGCTGGCAGAGTCAAAGGCAGACAGACACAGGAAAAGGGAAAGTATTTCCATCTTCAAGGTAAAGAATTACAGATTCAAGAAGTCAAATTCAGAAAATGAAAGCCTCAGAGCTGCACCCCATCATCAACCCCTCAGAGCTGGAGGTGAACAGCCCTTGTCTGGGAACTGGGAGGCTCTAAGCCCCCATTCTCCCCGGATTGTATCTTTCAGAGGCAGAAGTGGAAAATGTCGCCATTTTGTTTGCAGCCTCAAATATCCATCATCATGGCCTCTACCCACCCACAGCCCCAGTGCCCTAAGAAAATCCTTAGAAGCCAGCATTGGAGTCATTTCTGGGTACCTGCTGAGTCCCACAGAGCAGCTTCTAAGGACCCTTTTCATGTTTTAGGAAGAAGAAAAATTTTGGAGGATACAAAACCAGGCCACTGCAGAAAACTGGGAGTCTCACACCGAAGGAGCTTTCCCCACATTTCTCCTCCAGCCCATGTTCTTTTCAAAGATTTTGGCCTGTGTCGAAGTGGATTTGCTCCCCTCACCCCAACATTTCTGCCGAAATATGGTGCACACATCATCGGAAATGCAGAGGCTGGAAAACCAGTCTTGGAGAGGACTGGAGCCTTTTGGTTGTTGATGTTGTGCAGACACCGTAGTCTTTTTATGTAAGCATATTAGAAACATGCACAAAATTACCTGGGAAAATAAGGACCAGCGCATCAAGGGGAAGAGGTGTGTGTGTGAGGCCTCCACCTAAAAACCCTTCAGAGATCTCAGCATTGAAACCCATTCCTAAAATCTTCCTTTTAAGTAAGGCAAGAATGGCTTGGAGGTTTCCTTCTTCCCTCAGGGCAGAGACTGTACAAGGAAATCCTAATACTCTCCCCCATATCTTGCCAGTTAAGGCATTCATTTTGGCTTTCAAAGAAAAAAAAATCTTGTTTTCAGTTTCCTGGAGATTAAAAAAAATCTTTAATAAACTATCTCCAGAGTTAAAGTAACAGATTGGGGAATATCTGAATGTTGGGCCATCTCAGAAAAGGGTTTTCTTCCAGATGGCTTTTGAATTAAAGCAGTGGAGAGAAGTGAAATGCTCTCACCCACGCAGCCTGACAAAGCCCCATAGTGTGGGCTTTCTAACTTTCCTTTCCTATCCCTCAATGCTTTCTGGTAAAAGCAAATGCCCAAAGCCACCACCCTCGAATCTGCAAAGCACCTTTCCTAAGTGCTGTCTTAGAATCCTCTCTCTGCCAAAACCCAATCTTTAAAAAGACAAATTTTTC